CCCCCCCCCCCCCCCCGGCCTTCCCGTTGTGTTTGTCCTCGATCTCCTCGAAAAGCCTTTGCGATAGCAAAGGGGGAGGGGATGCCCGAGGCTACCCTTTCCTCATCCCTTTGCCGCGCTTGATGCTCCGCAGCCCCCCTGAGCCCTTCTGTCCCCGCTCTGTCCCGCAGTGCTGGTGAAGGGCCAGGTGACCACCAAGTACTACCGCTTTCTGGCCAAGCACGGCGGCTGGGTGTGGGTACAGAGCTACGCCACCATCGTGCACAACAGCCGCTCGTCGCGCCCGCATTGCATCGTCAGCGTCAACTACGTCCTTACGTAAGTTCTCTCCGCGGGATGCGCTCGGCAGTGCGGGGTGGGCACCTGCCGCGGCCTCCGGCCCCGAGCCTCGACGACTGGAGGGGGGGGTTGGTTGTGGCACACGCTGAGGAGCAGGGCGCTTAATCTACGTGAAGGCTTTCTTTGACTCTTTCCTTTCGAGAACGGAGATTTAGAGGTTTTGGCACCCGCAGATTTTCCTGCTCCCCCTTCCCTCTCCTTTTTTTTTTTTTTTTTTTTTTTTTTTTTTTTTTGTACATTTTAAATAAACCACCATTAAATAAAATTTAATGCAGCGTAAAAAAAAGAAAAAAAAAAAAAAGAAAAGGTTTTCACGTACGGAGTTATTTATACTCAACAAACAGGACATCTGTTTTTCTTTTCAAAAATCTGGGGTTTGAAGTTCTTAATTTCATCCAGAGTCTCTATCAAAGCTCCGAGGTTTCTTTTTTGTTCTTGGAGAGCGATCTTTGCAGAGAACCACAAAGAAAGTTGGTGATCAGAAGGGTCAGTGAAACTTAACAAAAATGAAGATAAAATGGAATAAAGAGGAAAAAAATAACAGAGGGACTGCTTAGATACTGCCTATCTCAACGTATCCCTTAGTATCTGGGGCTCGCCGGGCAGGTCTCCGGCTGTGCTGCTTGCATCGAGGCACGCAGGGCGGGGTGATCTCTTATCTCTGAGGCATCTCCCCTGGCCGCAACCGCTCTGGGATGCAGGGGCGAGCGGCCGGACCTTCCCAGAGCTGCGGCAGAGGCAGCGCAGTGATGTCTCCTTTCTCGGGTCCGCGCAGCACAGGTGGCGATAGGTTTGGTGGCCGCTCAACCGAAATGCAGCGGCTGCTTATGCTAAGTCTGAGCACCTGCACGAGGAGCTGCAGAGCAAGAGGTCAGTGCACGGTAATACTAGGAACCTAAAGGCAGCTGACGTACAGGTTTGACTTTCTGCCAGCAATTCTACGTGCTTTTCCATGACCACCTGAGTTCAGCGGTCATTTCACTTCCCTTTAGTAGCAACAGAGTGAATATAAACCCCTTGTTCCTCACACCTCAAGAGGTTTCCGACTGCTGGGGGCCAAGTCTGCGGCTCTCCCCTTGCAGAAGCCCGCACTCCTCTGCCTGCCCGGGGCGGCTGTGGGCACAGGGCTGGGCTTTCCTCCCCACCTCCGGGTCGAGCTCGAGGAGCGCTGCGGGGTAGATGGCTGAACCGAAATAGCGCGGCTCCTCCGCCCCTACCGACTTCCTGTCCTTTTGCTGGTCTTTGTATTTTCGTGCGTGTACGCGGATTTTAGAAACAAGGTTATATTTAGAGCTGTTTTTAGCCAAAGTGATGTGTGGGAGGGCTGTGTGCTCTCCCGAGCTTCCCCTCTGAGCGGCTTTGGAGAAAGGCTGCTTCTCATCGACTTGAATATGGGCAGAAGGCAGAGCTGGAGTCCATCACGATCCATGGTTGCAACCATCAGGGACTACAGGGGCACCCTGACTGCATGGAACCCTGATTTTGGTAGTGCAGATTGGTCGAGGTCTTATCTACTCTGATTGCCTCTTCATTGGGTTTCTGCTTTGCAAGGCTGAGCACTAGTTCTATAGTGTTCAAAGTCTGCATGTGATTAAGGCATTTAATATAAATTCTCTGGCTCCTAAAGCTTCTTAAGGATGATAGTGGCTCATTCCAGTGGCCCAGAACTAGCTGAAAGGTGCGTGGGTAACAGCTTTTGGCACAGACCCTCGTGGTCAACTGAACAGGCAGAAGAAAAAAATGGTGAACCTCTGCATATTGCCCCTTAATTATGGGAACTGGGGAGAGAGTTTGGAAATGGCAGAGTTGCATGTGGGATTGCAGGATAGCATCTGAAAGATGGGATGCCTCTCACCATGGTTCCTTTGAAAATAGGAAGTGCCAGTGTACAGTGAACTTGGGTGAACATACCAAAAGGGCCACCAACTTTGGGCAACATTGGACACATTCCTGAGTTTGCTGAATGGGCAGCTGTCTGTCCCCTGGCATGGTATCCTTCACTTGGGCAAAGTCCTGCAGGGGGTTCATTTACTCATGGAAGAAGAAGCTTTCTCTCACTCTGGGAGGAATGTGATGTTTTGGGCAGGAGCAAACAGATGCTGGGTGGTATAGTGGCCTGCCCAGTCTGAAAGATCTGTGCCAGTGCAGGCCGAGAGGCACTGCCTCTCCTTAGAGCTCCCCTGAGCAGTATGTGGGAGGAAAACAGAAAGAATGAGAAAGGGTTTGTGTAGGACTCCTTCCCCAAACACACATTCAGTTAATTAAATAAAAAAGGGACCATTTCCATCTTCCATAAATCCTAAGCTTTGTGAAAGTGAATTCCAGAATTGAGAACAAATGTTTTTAATAAGTATACATACTGAACTGGATAGGTACGGTGGCAAGCGCGTGTGAGCAACAAGAGGGAAGGTTATTTTTTGTGTAATCAGAGTGTGTCAAAAAATTAATGTAAATGACCTTTAAGGATTTCAGCATTTGCTCTTCTTTGTATTCTGCTTGGCATACGCGAGCACAGACAAAGAATATCTGTTTCTTTTATTTGTTCTGTACACACTCTTGCCATATTATTGATTATTAGCTGTGCATGTTTATCACATAAAGGGACTTGAGTATGAGTCAATTAATAGAGAATGTAACTGCTGAAGTTAAGTTTATATTTAGATGGCAAACAACCTTCCTTTAAACAAATGGGTAAAGCAAAGTGCAAATCCTTTGACTTTTTGAGCAAGAACAAATATTATAATAATTTGTCCCTAGAGAAATCTAAGGAAGCTTTCCTATATACATTTCCTCGTTCTTTAGCTTTTGAAAGAATAACAATAGCAGTACCATGCAGTGATAAAACCGTGCAGCAATAAAATGGATTAAGTATTTAATTATGACTAATCTATGTTGATGATATAGTACATACAAGTTCCAGTTGCCCTCTTCACATTACATTGTGCATCTGGCTGATTAGAAGCACAAATTGAAGTACGCAATTTGTTTGAAAGATTATTTCACAAATAAATGCCATATTGATGAATGTTTTACGTAATGATGTGGTAAATGCAATTTAGAATGAATTAACAGTTAATTGTATCTTCAGTCTTCATCTTTAAATTGTAACTATTTATAGCTTTGTGTACTACCAGGTTTAAAATAGTTGGATCAACACTGTGATAGCATTCTGTGTGGTGAGTTGGACTTTGAAAGCTCTCCTCCCTGGCATATTAAGCAGGCTTTGGGGAAGTCATGTTTCGGACAAAATCATAGCTCTTAGAGTATTCTGAGACAATCGCAATGAAGTATTTCCATTGCTTTTCATAACCGTTCTCTTTTTGACCTGCTTCTGGGTCTTTTGACCTGCTTCCAGGTCTCACCTCTTGTTTCCTAGTCAATAGGAGCATCCATACCTCATATTACCATACCTCCAGTCCCGCTTTTCTTCAGCATTTCTCTCAAATCCACCTGTTTGGACATGTGGCAGAGTACTCTCCTCAGCCCAAGGTACACGGCTTGTATCTCTCAGTTGTGTGATGGAATGTGTAGGATAGTGAATAAACTGGGGAAGTTATTACAGTAGTAATACTGCACATCTATACTCATTTCATTAGAGGAATGACTCATACAAGTGTAGCTATCTACCTTTAATACTCGAGACGAGGCATGCTGACTTTAACAAGGTATTTCTTATTTTTAATTTTTTCCTTCAGTAGTTGTAAGTAGTAGAAACAAATCTGACCTGTTTTTCCTTACATTTCTCTGCATTAATGGGAATTTTGACACTTCCAGTGCACAGAACTGAGTCCCACCTCATCTATTCAGTCTGCATTTTTCCTAGGACTAGAAAACCTTTCTTCACTGGTATGATCTGATTAGCAAAGTAAATATGTAATAGAACTGTTTTAATCAGCCAAAATTCTCGAAGTGCACATGCCTCAAAGAAAAAAGCATGAAAGGATTCCTCTTGAACTATTCAATGCAATATTCTGTTTGTTTGCCATAGTTTTTATTGCAGAGTTGTCTCCCTGAAGCACCGTTTATATATTTCTTGCAAATAGGAGACAGGCTTCTCCAGGTGTCCACAATACGCTTCTGCAGTTCTTCTTTGTTCATGTAGGGCCTTTCTTAGCTACCATTTATTTAATTCACTCCAAATTTCTATGCTTGTATTTAAACCAGGTGACGGTAATGGCTGAGGCACTAAAACTGTGTGCCAGAGTCTGCAGCCGCTGCTTTTTTGAACCCAGTTTTATTTGCTAGAGTGAGGATTAAAGGACTGCAACTTAGATCCACAGGAGAGAACAAAACAGTCATTAGTTTAAATGCATGCCTACTGATGGTCTCAGGCAGTGTGAAATTTAGGACTATGAGGAACAATCCGTATTCCAAGTAAGAAATGTGACTTGAAATGCTTTTCACTTCATCCTTCTCCCATTCAGTGAGCTGGCTGCTACAGCCTTTGGAAACTTGCTGCTTCCAAATGCTGAATTACAGATCTTGTAAAATGATTGTCTAGGGGTGAGACATGTTGAGCAGCAGATTTAGCAGCAATAGCTAAAGCAATTACTATCTCCATCTGCCCGCCTTGACTCCACTGACGAAAGTTCCAGGGCCCACCACAGGGATTCTTACTCCTAAAATGCCACAGTTAATGGCTCAAGGTAAGCTGTCACAGATTTCACTTTGCACAGAAGCACAGCACTGTATGCTGGAGCACAGGTGTTTCTGCTAGAGAGAATATTTGCACGTTATCCTTGCTCTGCCCCTCAGAACCTTGAATGGCACAAACGAGCCTTGTGAACAGCACAAGCAGCTCTAGGTGCCCATGTCCCTTTTGGGGTCAACCCCAGTGATCCTTCCACAAGACACAGGTGGAGAGCACAGATTGTGGCACTGATGGTTGAAGTCAATTACACTATCATAGTTCATAGGGCTGAATGCAACCAAGGCCATTGGAAAAGTGTCTGCTGGTTTTGCCACATGACATTTGTATC